GATGGGGAGCAGCGGCGGGGGCTTGGATCTGAGTGGGGGAGGGGAGGGGAGTGTGGGGCTGCAGTGGGGGGAGGCTCTGCGGGGACAGGGCGCTGGGAGGGATGTGGGAATAGTCTGAGGGGGTCTGCCGCTTAGGACAGGCTGGAGACAAGGCCTGTGGAACAGGGGAGGTCTGCAGGATCGGGCAGGGGGCAAGTGGGGTCCATGAGAGGGAGGAGGATGGCGGTGGGGCTGATGTAGGACAGGAGACACGGTTGAGAAGAAAACCAGAGCTGATCCCTCCCACCCCGTGGGTTGCCCCCCAACTGGAGAGCCCTGCGCCAAGGCCAGGGGTGGCTGGGGTCTGCAGGGGAGGACCCCAAAAGACCCTCCCCGCCCTGAGCAGCCCTCCGCTCTAAGATGCCTCTGAAGCCGTCCCCGGAGACAGGAGGGCTTTTATCCCATGCATCGCTCATCCCCGGGCCCCTTCGGGCAGGAAAAGGGCTGTGTGTGCCCTCAGCCGGAGGCAGCGGCAGGGTCTGGGAGGGGTCGGGAGGGCGTCCCTTCCTCAGCAGTGGCCTCCAGCATGGCTTCTCACGTGGCCTGCACACTTCCCCCAGAGAACAGAGGACGGTCTTGCCGGCGTGCTTAAAGGAGGGGGACACCTTAAATGACCTCCCATCCCCCAGATTCCTTATAGGTCTTGCAGCTCCGGGAGCAGCGCTAAAATCCCGGGGTCCATCTTCCTCTTTGCAATCAATTATTCGCAAGCTTCCGGGACCCAGCTGTGTGAGGCTACGTTGGTCACCCGATAGCGCGAGTGCCAGGGGAATGGCTGCCGTCCTTGAGACACTCAAAACCCAAGCAAAGTGACATTGACTCTGGGGGACAGGCTGTGGGATGCTGTCCTGGAGCGGTCTGGGAATGGCATCGCTGGGCTCCCCGCTGGCAGGGACGGGATGGGCTTCTATCCGGAGGTTCTTACCAGCCCTGCTCTCTTGCTCAAAGGCAGTCACATCGCTGCTTCTCAGGGGTGGCCCTCCAGGCACTGTCCTCCCCTCCCAGAGAGAACTGCTAGGGACACAGCAGGTGGGAATGACTCCCAGCGGAATGGACCCCGCCCACCTGTCTTACTGACAGCCAGTAGCCCACACAAGGGCTGATCATCTGTTCAAGCCAAACCAGACTGTCTGTCCCCTGCCTCAGTCCCCCACAGCATCTCAGCTGAATAAGCCAAGGCCAGTGGTGGCACAGCACCGGGCCAGGCACTGCTCTTATATACTCATAAATACATTTACAAACTCAGCAAAGGAGCATGTGCTGATCCGGCTCAACGATTAGGAAATAGAAGTTCAGAGAGGGTAGGCAACTTGCCCAAGGATGCACAGAAAAGTTTTAGAGCCCAGCTCTGCTGAGCTGGTCTGATTTGGGAGTCTGTGTCGTAGCTTCACCACTCTGTTCCCTCACCTGCTTGATGTGTGTCTGATGTCCCCTTTCTTCTGCAGTCTCAGGTCTCCTGGATTTGTCATCGTTCTTATAATACACCAAGCTCTCTCTGCCCGCATCTCATTTTCTTCCAGCTCCTCGTACAGATGGCTGCTTCTCACCCTCTAGGCCTCCTGCCTATTGACACAGGGAACAAAGGATCTCCCATGACCCTCTTCCATATGGTACCTTCCTGGTTCTTTCACTTGTTACAATGGGACTGGGTTTTCAGATTCGCCTACTTGGATCAAATTGATTCCCACTTCCAGAAACTAGTCCGTGTCCAATGAGAAATTGTTGACAAAGAAAGGCATCCCAGCATCCCGCTGGCTGGGGTGATATCTGGGTTCTGTCTTCACATGTGGCCACCTGCACCAGGCCTTTGTAACCCAGTTTGCTCGCTCTACATGGGCTTGATAAATGCTTGTTGGTACATGGCACCTGTCTTTCCACATCCCCGCCTCCGTTTCCCTCAGGGATATGGAATCGGGCAGCCCGGGGCTGAATCGATAGGTGTGAATATGGTGACGGCTGATTTGTCCTAGTGGCTTGGTTGCCACTGCGCTCAGCCACTGATCCAGATAGTCAATAAAGAAAAGACAACAGAGCCAATATCAAAGAAAGTCCACAAGGCGGTGTGCAAGGCGGCCAGGGAGCGGGCGGCAGGTGACAGCACCGTGATGTAAGAGGCACACACATGCACAGGGAGGGCCAGAGTCAGGAACGCTCTCGAGCTGCTCCTGGAGAGAAAGGGCATGCAGGCAGGAAGTGGGGTCTAGACTCCTATGGCCCGGTAGAGGGTTCTGAGGTGTGATCTGTGCCGCTGGAAACTGGGGTGTTTTTAGGGTACTGACTCATTGCCTGTGTCCCCAAGTCTCACAGCTTTCCTTGCTGGAAAAATTCCTTCCACTGATTCATGGGCCAGGCCTGGAAATCTGATTTCTGACCTGGACTGGCTGCAGGAAGTTGATATTTCTAGTGATTCTGAAAAGAACTCTGAAACTTTCCCAAGGGTTCCTCACCCAAGGAGTCTGTAGATTGAGCTTAAGTGGTTTGTGGTCTTGGATAGAAAAAAAGTTGCGTCTCTATTCCCACTCCTCTCAGCGGGTGGTGTAATAGCAGGAAGATCATGGGGTCCACCTCAGCCTGGGTAACTTAGCAACTTAGCAGGAACCTGTCTTCAAATTTTAAAAAGGCTGGAGATGTAGCTCAGTGCCAAGGCCCTGAGTTCAATCCCCATTTCTACCAAAAAAAAAAAGGAATGTAAACAAGAAATCACAGTAGCATTATTAATCACTGTGACTTTGTCCCCAAGGGAAATCATAGATGGTTCTGGAACAACTACAGATGTTGCAGCCACTTCCCAATATCAATGATGCTCCTCTGTCATTCTAAATTATGGTATTTAATAAGGTCTCCGCTAGATCCTGTCAGCTAATGCACTCATAAAGAAGCACACATGTAGCTACTTTGCAAGTCAATCTCATTAGATATTCCTTTGTAGTGTCCCATCTTTCATTTTCTGCTTTTTCAGGCATTCAGAGAACTTCTCTAGACAGCAGAAAAATATTGTAGACCCCGAAAGGTCAGGAACCCCTGCTAAGTGCAAGGTGGTGGGCTATGGGGGAAGCCTGTGATCATAGCCCCCTTTCATGGCTCCAGCAGGTTTCCGCTTGCAGGTCTTAAGCACACACCCAGCTTTCTGGACCTTTCATCCTCCCTTCTTGGCCAGTCCTTTGTTGAACTCAATGGACTTGGTGTCATTACACTGTCCTCTCTTGGTCTGGCAGGATCACCAGGGAGGTCCCTGTCACCAGCCCAGCTCAGGAAGCTTGACAGTGACCTGGGGCTCGAGCGAAGAGACAGACAGGAAAGCAGGGTAAGGGTGACTGCATCTCCTTCGCTGGCTGCTTCTGAATTTAATTACGCGCAGCATCTAGACCCTTGGCTTCCTTCCTCCAGAAACTCTTCTTCCTACGTGTCTGTGCAGTGCCCCTCAGCCGGTCCCAGTCCTTTCAGAGGAGGCCTCTTTCCCACCTAAATAGCTGTAGAGCGACAGCCCAGCCCTTTCCCACAGCCCAGGACCTTGAAGCCCAACACTTGGAGGGGGTTTGGTTCTGTTTTCAGAAAGCTTTCCTTTTAGCATCCCTCCCACATGGCACATACCTTGGGACCTTAAGTGGATCTTTTCAAATGCCTGAGAAGCCCCCAGGGGGACCCTGGTGCTATCCCTGGGAAGCCGACATGTGGTCCAAGACTTTAGCAAGATTGCTTGGTCTGCAGAATCCACATCCCCAGGTCCGCCTGCCACGTGCTACCAAATTATAAAATCCTATCTTCCTTCCAACAGACTTGGAATGCCCAAGTGCCTTTCAGGGGAAACCTAGCAGACTGATTCCAAGTTTGATGAACTGATATAAATAAGTGCTGAATTTGTATCTAGCATTATATACTGTATCAGTCAGATTTTTGAGTGCTAGGTCACAATACCCATCACCTACAACTTAAAGGAGGAGCAGTTTCATTTTGTTCATGGTCACAGAGGACCGAGGCCATGGTCCACTGGCTCCATGGCAGAAACATCGTGCCTGGTGGAGAAAAGCTGCTCAGCTCATGCTTCTTGGGAAACAGAGCAAGGAATGGCGTTAGAGAGAAAGGGGTCAAGGACCCTGTACAGCACCCAAAGTTGTGATTCCATGACCTACTCAGACACATCTAGGAGCATGCTTTACTAATCTAGGCATTTCTTAATCCAATAAAGGATTAATAGTCACATATGTACCCTGGGGTCTTTTCACCCCAAGGTCAGAGTTGTGTCCTTCACTTTCTTTGTGTCCTTTACCAATGTCTGGCATGACGCTAAGCAAGTGATAACCTTTTAATGTATGTTTAGAGTTAAATCACCCTACCATGTCTAACATTGACCAGGAGAGGGGAGACACAAAGGACATGCTGTCAAGGATCCCTTTACATGGGATGTGAGGAGGCCTCTTTCCCACCTAAATAGCTGTAGAGCAACAGCCCAGTCCTTAGTAGGGAAACCCTTAGTGACTTCTGGTGTGACCCTGGGAACAGGTAAAGACTGGGCAGAGTAGGGGCACATCTGCTCTGCTTTTCTGCTGTGCTCTCAACCTCTGTGCTGGCTACATGGTGTATGCATGTATCTTGTGCAAATTCACCCACTGTCCCCTCAGGATTTGTGTACCTTCCTCTACCACTGATACATCAGTAAAGTTCTTATGAAAAGCTGTCCATCTTGTGACATAATGCTTGTGAAAA